GGACCCCACGGGTCCGCCCCAGGGAGCTGATCCCCGAGCCACTGTGCTGCGCCCGTGCCGCTGAGACCCATGGGGGGGACGCGTCCTGCTCCACCCTACACCCCACGACCTGGCAGCGCGGGGACCCACAGAATCGCCGGCCAGGCCCTCAGTTCACGGGGGGGGGGGCGGTATAGAAGCCTGCGGGGGGCTCCCACACGCACAGGGAGATGAGGGTGCCACGCTGTCTTGGGGAGCACCGGCCCTCCACAGAAGTAAAGTATCTCGCATCTGAACCACACAGTGAGACCTTGTCTCAAAACACACACACATACACACACAATCTTTTAAAGCTGGTATAACAATTCTTCATTATCTAAGGTTTGATGAATTGGAAAAGTAATTTTAAGCTACATCACAAGAAAGGGTGGGGCTACTGGAATTTGTCATGGAGAGCAGTTAAAATTTTACTAGCAACAGTTCACAGAAGACAGTGGAAGCCAGCTGCTCACTTCCTTTGAGTTTGCTAACCTACTGAAGCAGGCCCTGCACCCCACAACTCTGTTAACCAATCTGGAAGAACAGGGTGCTGGGCAGGGCCCTGTCTGCTCTGGCCCTCCCAAGCAGTGCCTGAAGGCCCTGGTTACTGGCCCGGGGAGGTGCCAGCTTCTGAACAGGCAAGGGCAGGGAGGAAGTGAGTCCTGCTCAGCCAGTTACTGGGCCTGAGTCTCAGGGAGCTCGCTCTGCAGCACCCCGTAAGGCTGAGGGCCACAGGCACTGCACAGACTTTCAGAGGGGAGATGGTAAAATCCAGCCCGCACTCACCTGGCTGCCTCTCCTACAACTATGGCATTCGTTAGATGTCAGACCAAGAGTGACTCCAGGGTGACATCATAAGGTGCCACCTGGCTGTCTCTACAACAAGTCACACAGCATTCCTGGGAGCCAGGGCCCAGGCTGGTGACACCAGGCTGGGAGCTTTTGGTAAAGACTTCCCTCCTGGACTGTGACCTGACTCTGGTTCTTACATTACGGCCCCTGAGGGAACTCACACACCTGAGAGGAACAAGGAAGACACGTTTGAGATCTTAACCTTCCAGAGTAAATGGAAGAGAATCGTGGCAAAGCGTCATCATCACCATGAAACCTGGGGTCACTGTTACTTGCACAACAGGCACCCAGACTCACAGATGCCCTTTGTAGCACTCTCTGCCCGCCCTCCTGCAGGCTCACTCCCACTGCATCCACTCTACAGTAAGTTCTACCCTGACTTCCGCACAGCCGCGTGTCTCGACTGCATTCTTCCATCAAGGGCACCAACACCGAGGACCCAGGAAGTGAGGGGCAGGCTTCTCGCCGCATCAGGATGGGGCTTCCTGGTGACACTCATGCTCCTCTAGCCCGTGTGCCACACCCTGACTGCACCAGCTCAGCCTGTCCTGTGTGGGCCCTGATCTCAGGATGTCCCCAGCTATAGGAGCGAAGTGAGGGTCCACAGTGAGCAGGACACTGACACCTCCACCTTGGCAGCGGTAATGAGACTCAGAGACTGGGGGACACAGTGCAGAGGGCTTCATTTGTCTGCCATTCAATTTAATACAAATGACTCTAATGGCCCCGCACGAAGCCCTGAAAAGCAGTGTGCAGGTCAGTTGTGAGGGTGATGACCAGGGGCTGGTACCTGCAGACTTGGGGCTGGGAGGGTCTGAGGCACAGTCAGGGTAAGGGGTGAGGCCCTGAAGAGAGGCAATCTGTAGAATGGGAAATGTGGAGGTGCAGGAAGTTTTCACTTCAGCGCTAAAAGCAGCTTGGCAGAGCAAGAGAAAAGCCTTGGTGGTATCCAGAGCTCAGTTAGACAGAGTGACAGGCAGAGAGGGCCAGGCCCAAGACAGAGTCAGAGCAGAGAGGAGGCAAAGCAGGTCTGTGGTGAAGGTTGGATGATAGAAACAAGGCCCAAGATGGAGACACAATCGCCAGGCCTGCAGCCTCTTCAGAGATAAAGGGCAGCTCAAAGCTGGGTTGGAACCAGCACCATTTGCGCAATAATCCACCACAATGTAATACACATAAGAAACAATGTGTAAATTGTGACATTGTAACACACAAGAATGTAACGCAGTAGAAACAAGGTAACAAGCATATAGACCACCAGGGCACTCTGACCTCACTCCTACCCTTCTGAAGATGCCTGCTTTTCCACCAAGCTGTATACCCTTGCTACATCCACTGATATTCTATTGGATCAGTATTAGCCAAGTGACTGTACTTGTAACCCTATAGGTCGGTCGATTATAGGTTGGCACAAGGTAACCTGTGATGTGATTTTACTGTATAAAAACCCTAGACCAACAGCTCACCAGCAACCCACTTCCAAGATGCCTCCTGTCTCTTAATAAACTTTTCCTACTCTTAAACCTCCTTTGTTCATGGGTGGATCTTTGGCATTGTGAGAAAGGAACTCAACTCATCTAATAGTTCGGGAGTTACTTCCCAGAATAGTGGCGTACATATGCAATCCCAACATTCAGAAGGTTGAGGCAGGAAGATCCCTGTGAGTTCTAGGCCAGTCTGGGCTGCATAGTTAGTTCAAAGCCAGCCTAAACTACAGAGTAAGACCTTGTCTCAAAAACCAAACCAAAACAGAGACAACATTAAAGCCAGCTAAGAGTATGAAAAAATCAAAGAGTAGCCCCAAGTCTCTACCCTGGGGCAGGTTACAGAGCTAGAGGCACCTTGAATAGCTGAGTGACACTGAGGGGACCAGTCCCTGTGGGCTCTGGGGTTTCAATACAGAGCTATGAAGCTGATGGTGTGGAGCTCAGCTGGCTCTTCTGGATAAAGGGGATCAACGACAGCACTTCTAACACACCGACTCTGAATCTCCAGCACCCTCCAAAGTGCCAGAAACACACCTGTGCTCACTGTCCCCGACTGAGGTCAGGACCTCAGTACTGAGTGGGCTGGTTAGGTTGGGAGAAATTCTGACTATCTCCACCGTGCCTGGGGTTTGAATATTAAATGCTGGAAATTTCAAAAGCAGTTCCCAGATGCTCGGGCCTTAGGCAGCAACCTGATTTTAAAGGAATTCCTGGGAAAGCAGGAAAGGTAACTGGGATGTCTCCACGTATCCAAGGAATATCAGCATCACAGCCACCAGCCAGGTGAGTGCCAGCCACACCCAACTGGGTTACTCAGTCTCCTTGGTATTTGTTGCTAGGTTCACTGCTTTGCTTTCTGCTGTGGTTTGCTGCTAAGCTAGAGGGCTGGAGAGGCCTTCAGGGGACACCAGTATGGAGCAGAGGGCGGGGCAGGGAAGTGAGGCTCGCTGGGTCTGCAGTCCCAGCACTGAAGGGCACCACCGACACCAACACCAGCCTTGGGGCTGCAGGGAACAAGTAGCTCTGAAGCACTGTCCACTTGGCAGAGCAGGCCTGCGGGACCCTTTATGCTGCCCCTGTGGCTCAGGACATGCACGGCACAGCCCAGGCTCCCAGGGTGTCGAACAGGTGTGTGCTGGAAGACGAGCCCAACTCCATCTGGGTGAGCCCTAGCATACTGTCAGGCACAGCCCTAGGCTTCTTCTGGGCCACAGCTGGATCAGGAAGCCCACCTGCACCCCAGGGCCCTGGTGGGGCAGAGAGCGGTCGGTCCCCACGGTCAACAGCCCCGCGCAAGACCACCGTGAACATGGCTGTCGGGCAGGCCCTGCTCGCCAGCAGTGGTCCCAAGAGGTGGAGGTGCAACCCTGGGCAGCAGCGCAAGCCAGGCCCCGTTACACTGCATGCTGCATCTGGAGGTTCCCACAGCCGCCCTGCTGCCATGCGCTGGGGCAGGAGAACCTGTCCTCACTGCGTGGGTACGGTGGCCCCTTCCTAATGACAGGAGGAAGATAGAAGGGTGGTTCCCCTAATACATGGGGCTCTGACAGGTTATTGTGAACCCTCACTGATACACAGTTAAGTATTTTGAACTTTTGTAGCAACTGGGAATAGAATGAAAGTTGACAACTCATCCATCCACTTATTTACTTCCTTATTTATTATGAGGCAGGTTCTCATTACATAGTTCAGGCTGGCCTTGAACTAGAAGCAATCCTCCTGCCTCAGCCTCCTCAGGGCTGGATTTATAGGTGTGTTGTACTACACCTGGCAAAAATTCTATTTTAAAAATGTCTTTAGGATTTTTTCATAAGTACCCAGCACCCAGCATCACCATACTTGAACAGTTTTTTCAATCCCTTTGGATTTTCTAAGGGAATGCTGAGGGGGTGTGGGGTGGTGGGAGGTTAAGAGCACCTTGTGGGGAGCAGTTGGAGATAACCATGGAAACTGACAGCGGGCTTAGCTGGAAACCAAGGAAGGTAGGAGGGACTGAGGATGCCCCTACTTAACGGGGAAGTAAGGAGCCAGACGGAAGAGGAGTTAGAGAAACTGAAAACACAGGCGCCTCCTGGAAGCCACACAGCAAGGAGCAAGACTGCGAAAGCCTTCAATTTGTGAGAAGAAAACAGCGATTACCACAATCTCTTGTTAAAATTCTACCACTGCAGCCTGGGGCGGAGGCAGGACTTTGGCGTGTGGTTGGGGGAGATGTGTCCCTCCATCCGTGTGTCTGTCTGAAGGGTTTGAGATGGCTGGGTCTATCTGGAAGGAGCTTGAGGAGGACCAGGCGGGGCAGCCTAGAGGGAGGGATGACTGGCCCAAGCGGGACCAGCGGGGTGGAGGGGCAGGTGACAGTGAGGGTGGCTGGAGGAGGGGGGTGCCGCTGGGTAACGCTGTGATTGATCTGCCCAGGCACAGCCCCACCTGGGAGCCCCTGAAGCCCAGGTGTCTGTCTTGGTAGAAATCTGATCTGTACTTAACATCATTTCTCATTTCTGTCCCGGTACATTAAATCCAGCTCCCGAGAGGCTAAGCCAGGAGGGCTGCTGTGAGCTCAAGGCCAGCATGAACCACACAGGGAGACCTTGTTTCAAAAAAACTAAAATAAAAGTAAACTCATCTCCCAAAGTGGCCAGGAATAAGTCCATAACAACGCCAAGTGTATTCATTTTCCCACTGCATCCCTCAGGATCTCGATCCCAAGGGCCAGGCCAGGGTGGTCAGAGACGCCCCCATATCCTCTGGGGAATGGCCACAAACACCTTGCTAAATCTCTTGGGAAAACCACCTGTAATGATCGTGGGTACAGTGGCCTGCGAATGTCAATCATTTTCTGTAAGTGTTGAAAGCAAGACCACTGAAGTCCATTATGTATTTCCCTGCCACAGCACAGTCACCTCTGAAAAGCCTGCTCTCCCTTGTCCACAGGAATGCAAAGAAACTAGTACATTTATGTGCTTGTGGAATAGTGCATTTAGGTGCTTTAGAAAATCAGGAGTGACGGGGCAGGGGAAGCTTCACTCTCCCTAAATGTGTTCACTAGCTAACAGAACAGCCTACTGACCAGAAATAACCAAACGTCAATGGATATTTGAGTAGAAAGTGAAAACAATGTTTTTAAAAGACACCTTAACCATTTCTTTGGCTTTTGGTAACCCTGCCTGTGAGTGAGACACCCTAGAAAGGAGAAGGTGTCCCGACAACCATGGCTTAGAACACATCCTTACCGTACTAGGAAAACTCCAGGGAGAGTCAGTGAAGCTACAAATGTGATTGACAAACATCACTCACAGAAAGGAAGCAGGGGACAGGACTTGATTCTCAGGGCCCAGGGTGAAAGGAGAGAGGCTCGGGTGTTAGGCTGCGTCCAGAGCCTCATAGCCCAGCCCTGCTGCTGCCTGCTTGGCTTGCAGATGAGCTGGATGAAGAACAGAGAGGAGCAACAGGAGAAGCAGGCGACCTTCCAACCCTAGGCACGGAAATTCCTGAAATAGCATCCCTAAATAATCTTCATCCGAAGACGCCGTTCCCTCAGGGCGGACACTGCCGTACCACACTACACACGAGCCTACCCTCAGCCTCACGGGGCTCCGCTGTGCACTTCAACCCTGGAGGACAGCTCCAGTGCAAGCCACGCTCTCAGCCCCCAGGGACGATGGGCTGGATGGCTCCAGCGAAGATCCCACCCGGGCTTAAAGTCTCACCTTTCAGGGGAAGATTTTGCTGGGCGTCACGCTGAACCCGAGGACCGGGGCAGAAGAGCAGCATGGAGAAACATGCCAGGCACCAGAGTGGAAATTCTGGAATAACGAGAGATCAAACAGCCGCTCCTGACCACAGCACCTTTATGCCCTGCTCCCTGCTTGGGCAGCCGCCCCTGCATGATGGGAGGGTGCGGCGGCATCTCTGGAGAGCTCTGTGGGACCATCAGGCTGGATGCCAGTGACTTAGGTGCCAGGGACGCTTGTCCCTGTGGCCCCTGCATGGAGGTGCGTGCATGATGGTGGTGTCAGACTCCACAGGGAGGCACTGGTGCAGGCAGGGTTCTCAGCCGACCTGTGCCTCACCAGGTGGTCAGCAGTGTGGCCGCCACCAGCAGATGCCCACAACATACTCCACCCTGGGATGACAACCAAAGCTGTCTGTCCCCAGACGTCCCCACAGCCCCAGGTGGGAGTCCTGGTGGACAGGGACTTGGATCTGAAAGCAGAGTGGCCCCAGGACGTGGGGACACGGATGAGTCAGGGCACTCAGTAGGGTGGAAGGGGAAGTTGGAGCTGAGATTTCATTTTTAATTTCTTCAGTAGCACCTCTGTGATACACATTGAATGCATCCATCGTGGGGAGTCGGTGCACACACACACACTGCATCTTGGTCCTCTTCATTTCCCTCCCGCTCCTTCTACCCCCTCCCCTGCCCCAGATCCCCCCACTGCCTCAAAGTTTCTGAAAAGATCAGCAAAAAAGAACAGAGATGCTTCCTTTGGAGAGGAGGCCTGGGGAGAGGCCAAGGTTGCCGCTCATCTGGCCTGGATGCCCAGGAGATGGCAGCTAAGAGTTCACTTTTGGTTCCCAAAGGCAGGGGAGAGATGGAAATTCAGCCCCACCCTGCAGACCAGAGAGGGAACCAGAATGCCAAGGTGTGGTCCCTTCAGAGGGCTGGGGGAGAGGCACTGAAGTTAGGGGTCCACTCCTGCTTTGTAGTTTCTAGAGAACCCCATGACTTACTTCCTGCTTCCTGCCTAAAACAGGGAGCAACAAAGCCACCAGGCAGGGCTGCTGGGGACCACAGGGAGCGTGGGACCCAGTGGGCACACGGTGTGTGACACAGCCCCTGCAACTTCTTGTATTTTAGGGCTCACAGATGCCAGTCTTTCCTGCAACGCCAGAGACTTTGGAATCGTGGGGTGAGGAGGCTGGAGAAGTCTGGGGCACCCACGGGGTGACGGCTCTCCCAGCATTTGGGGGCACACGAGGAGCCTCTGTCCTTGTACTGAGTGCTGCCTCTTGGGCTCAGCATTTTGTTGCTGGCCTTATTGCCATTCCCAGAGCCAAGCGCTCAATGCTCTGGACTTCAGGACAAATCTATTCATGTTGTGACTGTGAAATATGTCTGCATACAAAGACTGGAAGGAAACACATGAAGAACAAAGGCCTACCCTGTGTCTGCAGTGGGGCGGGAAAGCTTTATTGCTCTCATCAAAAAACATTCTGTTTTTGTTTTTGTTTTGAGATAGGCTCTCACTATAGTCCAGACTGACCTTGGACTCACTACATTGGCCTCAAATTCCTAGTGATCCTCCTGCCTCAGCCTCCTGAGTGTTGGGATCACAGGCATGCACTACTACAATAATCCCCCAGGGCTCTTCTATAACACAAGAGACATGGACATGGTCACTGTCCAACAGGCAGCGAGCATCTGAACCAGGCAGCAAAATTTCTGTTTGAGCAAGAAGCTGGAAGCTATACAAAAGTTGAGAATCGCCCCTGTTACTCTTTTTCAAACATCATGGCTGCTGCCACTGCTCACTCTTCCCTACTAATGCTAGAGTCTGTTAAACTTTAAACTGGCCCTCCCTCTGACTGGGTTTTATTTGAGTTGTGTTGTATTTACAAATTATTCTGGGTGGATTCACAGCCTGCCAGTGCCAAGTGTGTTCGGTAGGAAAAAGCATCTCACTCTCTGTTTTCAGTCTTTCTCCTTTAGCACGTTCCTACTGTTTTCTTCTGGGCCTGGGATCTTTCTTTATTCCTCTCTGTTCTATGAATGGGGTCTTAGCTTTTCTCCATTATTAAAATAAGTCATTGTGGAAAGATGTAGGAATGCTTTAGATTTTTGTTTTATTAGAAACGCTCTTGGAGAACTCTCCGTTTTCAGTTGATAGCTGGATTAGACACATGTACAGCTAAGAATTTCACCTACTTCCTTTTGGTAGTGATTCGCAGAGAGCTCAGGTAGGTAGAGTGGTAGGCAGACAGGGCCAGTCCCAAGACAGAGTCCGAGCAGAGAGGAAGCAAACCAGGCCTGTGGTGGAGGCCTGAAGGACAGGCACAAGGCTGGAGATGGAGACACAATGACCAGGCCTGCAGCCTTGCTAGAGATAAAGGGGCAGCTCAAAGCTGGGCTGAAACCAGCACTAACTGCTCAGTAAGCTACAACAATATAACACACATAAGAAACAACGTGTAAGATGGAATAATGTAACAATAAGAAAAAGGTATAACTCTCAACAATGTAACACATAAGAAACACTAGAAGCTACAATATAACACGGTAATATATAATCCAATAATGTAAGGTATATTAA